TACATATAAGCAGCAAATATATTGCTGTATGTATGTATTATATATACACCTATATGTAAAATATTATATATACATATATGTATTATGATATATGCTGTCATATATATGTAATACATTATATACATGCACATTTATATATGCATGTGTTGTCTTATATACATTATAATATAATAATATATCTATATTATGGGAGAAAGATATGGAGAAATATTATATATACACTTTTCATAATATGTGTCATAATACTTATACGCTTAATATATGGTGTGTTATGTCTCATACGTACCATATGTATACATATGCATTACATAATAATATCATCTATATGTTGCCTGTCCCTTTACTATGTAATATTGTTATATATATAATATTATTATATGCATATAGTATTTGATATATCAACATACATTGCTCATGTGCATTATATGTTGATAAATATTATCACTCCATATATAAACATTATATAAATTGATTATGATAACGATATATACATACATAGATATGAAGTGTGTGACATATTATATTCATAGGTGCATATATAAATATATGTTAATTTTTATCTTACCAGTCCTGAACTGGGGACAAGGACAGGAGAAGAACATTATTGTGGGGTGAAATACGGAGACTGTGAAAACAAGAGAGTCCGTCTGAAACAGTGCTGAAGGACACCTGAAAAGAATCGAGTCTCAGGAAAGTCGGCTTTCAGCTTCAATGTACATTCATGGGTTGTTGAAATAATAATAATAACAATAATAATTAAGTGAAAATATTCTCACCGACCAAAAAAGAGCACGCCCAACAATGCAGTGTTGAGACAAATACATTTAACCAAATTAAGTCGGAAGTGTAACAAATGCTCCCACTTCATGTCTTAAGCAAATAGCCTTCTTACCACATTCACAGCTTATGACATCTGACTATATTTAAACGAGCTAAACTGTGAGCTAGCAGTTGATCATATTGACAACGTTCAAACTACCACTTGTAATCAGAGAACCCGCTTCTGTGAGGATTTATACATTATATATGTATTATATATACATTATATATGTATATATGTATATGTATTATATATACACTATATATGTATTATATATACATATATATGTGTATTATATATACATTATATATGTATTACATATACATTATATATGTATATGTCTATATGTATTATATATATACTATATATGTATTATATATATACTATATATGTATTATATATACATATATGTGTATTATATATACATTATATATGTATATATGTATAAATATTATATATACATTATATACGTATTATATATACATATATAGTGTATTATATATACATTATATATGTATATATATATGTTAATTTTATGTTGTCCCTGAACTGAGGATAAAGGACAGGAGAAAGAACATTGTGGGGACTGAAATACAGAGAGATGTGAAACCGTCTGGCTCAGTGTGAAGGACACACCTGAAAGAGTCGAGTCTCCCAGGAAAAGTCAGCTTTCAACTTCAATGTACATTCATGGGTTGTTGAAATAATAATAATAACAATAATAATTAAGTGAAAATATTCTCACCGACCAAAAAGAGCTTACCGTCCAACAATGCAGTGTTGAGACAAATACATTCTTAAGTCGGAAGTGTAACAAATGCTCCCACTTCATAGTCTTAAGCAAATAGCCTTCTTACCACATTCACAGCTTATGACATCTGACTATATTTAAACTGTGAGCTAGCAGTTGATCATATTGACAACGTTCTGCTAATCCACTTCTGTAGAGGTTTCATTATCTAGAAGCTCTGGGTGTTGATGTTTGATGGAGAATAAACATTTGTGGACCTTTGCCTTTGAAAACCTGGCAGTGGTCCAAAATGGTCAACTTTGTGTTTGTTCTTTGTTAGGCTTCTGTGCTCTAAAGCAGGTGTCTTGTACAGTGTAACCTGAATTGTTTATATTATTAAAATTAGAATTTATAAAAATATTGAAAGACACGAATATATCCTGGGACTGTGTCTGATCAAAATAACTACCACAGAACCTCAAAGAATATTGTTGACCGGGTCCGAAGTCCATTTAATAAACATTACATTCCACTTCATACAGAAGTACCAACACATGTCAGGTACACGAGAGTGACTTTATTTTCCAGGAACAAATTCTCTTCTTAATAGTAATGTACCCTTCCTAAAAGTACTTTTGTGAACTTTTGGGTTTCTGATTGGGATGCTATGTCATAAATGCTAAGCTTTACCTATTTGTTAGGCACTTGTATCTCTATTAATTATACTGCATGCTGCTTTTTTTTTTTAATTTTTTTAACGTTTATTTATTTTTGAGACAGGGAGAGACAGAGCATGAACGGGGGAGGGTCAGAGAGAGGGAGACACAGAATCTGAAACAGGCTCCAGGCTCTGAGCTGTCAGCACAGAGCCCAATGCAGGGCTCGAACTCACGGACCGCGAGATCATGACCTGAGCCAAAGTCAGCCGCTTAACCGACTGAGCCACCCAGGCGCCCCTGCATGCTCATTTTTGACATCTAATCTGTTGCTCTCCACAGTGACTTTGTTTAGATGACTGACAGGATGACAATGAAAGTCTTTAAATATTCAACATCTAAATATTAAAATATTGGATGGAGAGGATAAGACTTAAAGAAACTTGAGGGCACTACAGAGTTTATTTAATTAACAAAGATTAAGGTAGGAGACTCTAACACAAAGATGGGCCTGGTCTCCAAACAGACCCTGCACACTACACAATTATGGATAATTAAAAAAAAATTAACGTTTATTCATTTTTTGATAGAGCATGAGTGGAGGAGGGGCAGACAGAGAGGGAGACACAGAATCCGAAGCAGGCTCCAGGCTCTGAACTGACAGCACAGAGCCCGACGCGGGGCTTGAACTCACAGACCATGAGATCATGACCTGAGCTGAAGTTGGACACTTAACCGACTGAGCCACCCAGGCGCCCCCAATTATGGATAATTTTAATGTATATGCCTGACATGAAACCTCTTTCTTTGGAACAGTCCTCTATCTTATCCTCAGAAATGGGTCCCTAGAGCTAAGTTCATGTTACCTTGTCCCGGGTCTTTTGATCATGGCACATGGCATATGATTTTTGAAGAGCCAATCTACAAGCAAGTGGGACTAGCTCACCAGAATTTCTCGCCTGAGGACTGAGTCAAAAGAGAGTTGGACCTTGGTCAGTTGAGGGACACACCAAGATTGTATGACCTAGGTCTGAGAAAACCATGTCTAGCCATGTGTGTAGACATGCAAAACAAAAAAAAAGTCACTGGGCATAAAAAAGAAAAGTATGATGTGGTTACATTAGGAAGTATATTAAATAGGCTCTCATTCACAGAGAGATGGAGAATATGGCTTCTCGTTCTTCATTTTCCAGTTCCCAATTACTATACCCTGTGAATGGGGACTAATTTCATTGATTATTCACTGGATTCACCTGATTCTTTATAAACCTCCTTTATCCTTACGGCCATGTGTTCATATCAAAGGATTCCTATTAGCAAAAATCCCTGTCTAGGAAATACAGCACATTATACTTGGTTATTTTTGACATTTACACACAAAACCATAAATTAACACTCATTAATGTATGCTAATTATGCATATCCTGTGTTTCCAAACTTCCTATAAGCCTTTTAAGGAAAACAATAATATTATGTCTTAAACTTATTTATAACTTCATTTTCTAGCATGATATCCTTCACAGGGTAGACAATAATAGATGATGATATACAATTATTTAGTAGATGTGAAAACTACCTTTAGATTGTAGTGTGTTTTCCTGTATACCAGCTTATCCACTTAGTTCCTAATTTTCCATTTCCATAGAGGTTAAGCTTTGTTATCAATAATAGAAAATCACAAATGCAGGAATGCAGTTAACCAGAATGCTATGTTTACTTATGTCCTAAATTAGGAACTTGGGTCATTGGGCTGGGAGTAGGGAACAGGTCTATATCTGTTGGTCTATCTGAAGGAGGTCATAGTTCAATGGAAATACCTATTGTGGGGAGCTACGGTGAGGAAGGAAGACACATCAAGATACATCATTCTAGAAGTTGGCATTGACAAAGAGACCCGGGACTCAGCTCAGTGGTTATAGAAGACAGTAAGAACCTCAGAGTTTCAGTTAATATTTATAATTCATCAGTCCGAAACACGTATGTCCACTAGAAAGTTCAGAATCATTTGGTCCTAAAAACTTTCTCTTACTCTGTGGAAATCTTGGCTATGGTGTCACAAGAACTGTACTCCACGCCTGTGAAGATTTCCTTGCACTGTGCTGTCCGGACACCATTAAGCCAGTCACCTGTTGTGCGGAAGGTAGTGATGTCGACATTGCTTTGGTCCAGAAGAAGGTTTGATGGCCTGCAAGAAAAGAAAACACCAAAGGAAGAGAGATCAGGAATCAGCAGAGTTGCTGCGTGTCAAAATTTGACACCAACATCAGCAGGAACTTCCAGACTTCATGTGGTGTTCCTGTTTATTTGTGGAATTTATCTGCCATGAAGGCTTCATCTGTTCAAGCTGGCAGCTTGCAAGAATACTGTGTAATCATCTTGTCTCAGTGCTTCCCTTTTCCACTCATGCCTGCTTTGTAAATCATTGAAACTATGCCAGTGGAATGCATAAATATATCCATACATACTTGGATAATTTATTTTCTTTAGCTATTAGCAAAGATGGTGGTAATTCAGGATACAGTTATAGGAGACCTGACACACTGAATACTTTGCTTTATAGATGTTCATTTGTAGACATTGTATTGGTTGCTTTCTAAAGGACAGTTGAGCAACCTAGATTATACTTACAGCAGGACATGAAGTCAGCACAGATGAAAATAATGTCATACATGTCATTAACAATTAAAATCACAAAAAGAATAGAAAAAATAGCTGAGTAACAATAAATGAAATTCTCACATCTATTGACAATATTAAATGGACTTCATGACATACAGAGAAAGATGAAAGAGAGAAAAATATCGGTACTGGTACTGTGACTGTGATTTATACTGCACAATACAATCATCATTAAGGGGAAATGTTTAGAATTGTTTTATATAATGACAGGTCTGACCATACGTTTGTGACCAAATGCAAGATCTGGTGAATCTAAGGAACGGCAGGGACATAAAAGAAACAGAGGAGACCATGTTTTCATTCTGGGAGAGCCAAAAGCAGCAGCCTATTGGTAAAATGCCCTTTGGGTGTTTTTTTCAGATCGCAATGACCTGTTAATTGTCCTTTGACTCATAAGACCGGGACCAGATAGACAATTGACTTTCTTTATTTTCTTCTCTTAAGGGAAGGAGCTTGAGGAAAAAGCACTAATGAAGGCCTTTGTTTTGAGATGAATAATAACAACAGCAGCAATGATTACATTGAACATTTATGAACACTTCTAATGTACTGGGGTCTATACTCCGCATAGTACACAGATAGGAAGGACTGTGATTCTTACAACAGGTACCAATGCTATGTCCCTATAATAGAAGTGGAAACTGAAACCGAAAGAGATTAATTCACACATCTGAGTTTCCTCAGGCAGAAGAGCCAGAGCTGGGATTTAGACACCAATTATTTTATTCCAAAGCCCACACTCTTGGCCACTGTGCTATACCATTTAGGTGGAACTTAGTTCATATTGTTTTCTTTTAAGTTATTTATTTAAATTTACATTTATTTTTTTAAATTTATGTGTATCTGAATTTATTTAAGTTCCATGATGTGGGCTCTTTAACTTTTATATTTCATAAAGTGTAGTGGTCCAGTGCACAGACACTGGAACCATAAGGCTTGGGTTGAATCCTGGTTATAGCACATACTATCTGTGTGATCTTCAGTGATTTCTTATCTTGTCTGCTTTCTCACCTGTAAAATGGGAATGATGATCACAAGAGATTTCACACAACTGAAGATTAATGAATTTTAAAAAAGATTGCTTATGCAAGGAATACTCAGAGATGTGGACATGTAATATGCTATCGGTTAGCTATTTGTTACTCTGACATAAGGTAACACATCTTGTCAAATGGTTGAAGGTTTTAAAACTTCAAAAAGAAAATAACACAATAAGTCCCAGTTTATAAAAGCTGCTGGAAGTGTGGTGATCTTGTTAATGATCTTTCTGAGCAATTAAAAGTTTAGTCATGTATAATCTTATGAGCATAATAGGGCAACAACCTTGTAAAGCAGGTATAATTGGGGGCCTCATTTGAATAGCCAATAACTTTTACAACCTCACAATCATTCTATAACCAATGCTTGCAAGTGGCTATGCTATTCTGATTTCTGTAGTTTCTGTTTTCATTACTGCAGTAAAATATATTACTAACATTGAAACTGTGTGTCGTAACCTAATCTTTAACTTATAATTGAGAAGGTGCATTTAGATTTGTACTTTTTTATTATTTTTTTTTTATTATTTTTTTTTTTTAATTTTTTTTTTTTCAACGTTTATTTATTTTGGGGACAGAGAGAGACAGAGCATGAACGGGGGAGGGTCAGAGAGAGAGGGAGACACAGAATCGGAAACAGGCTCCAGGCTCCGAGCCATCAGCCCAGAGCCTGACGTGGGGCTCGAACTCACAGACCGCGAGATCGTGACCTGGCTGAAGTCGGACGCTTAACCGACTGCGCCACCCAGGCGCCCCAGATTTGTACTTTTTTAGAGTTACCATACAGAATCTTTCATGTTTTATAATACTGCAGTTGAATTTGATCAGCATTGAGCTCTTAAAACTTTTTAAAATTATTATTTTAAAAATCTCCAATATTAGGATTTGCTAACTAAACTTTGCATTTTCTTAAATGTTAAAAATTAATGCTTTGCCTGAATGAAATCTGTTTTTTTTGAAGTTCTTAAATTCAATATTTACAATTATCAGAGGACATCAAAACAAATGAAGACTATACTACCATGGATTTGTCCTTGTTTTAGAAACAAATTCAGCTCTCTAAAGTACCAATTCAATAATATTTTTAGAAACAGCATGAAATAACAAAATGAATCATCTTGATGAAATTTAACTGCATAGTGTTTTATCAATGAATACTAACCATTGATTATCATCTAGGAAATGTGGTAAGGCTCATATTCTCATGAGAAAATCTTTCTGTAGAGCAAATCTACAAATATGCCAACTCTACCCACATTTAAAAGCAATTTTAATTAGGAGATTTCTATTACTATTGATAATATTTCTCCAACTCACTCCCTGATACATAGGAAACAAGTTAACATTCTCAAATCTGAACAAATTTGTACCATGTCCTAACCCTGCATGCTGTTGGCAGAGACACATGAAAAAATGTAAATGGACTATCCATCTGGATTTTGATGGGGATATATGGAATGTGTTTGATAAAAATAAGCTTTTAACTAATTTTTTTATTTGATAAAAGCGAAATATTAAGGAAATTTTAATACTGAGTTGAAGAAAAAGTTGGCAACATGACAGTTTCGTTCTGTCTATATTTTCATCTTGTGTGGAAAATATAGATCGATAGCTACTTTCCTTTTTCTCATGATCATTTGTAGAGAGGGAGAAGCTGAAAATGGAGGATTTTTGCGACCTTCTTTCCATGAGACTAAACTCAACTATTTCAATCTTCTTTACCTCAAGTATTTAATTTATAAATTAAAAATTAAACTTAAAGAGAATGTAACATATTTATATATTATGGTTTAATTTTAACTAATAATCAGAGGTTATCTTAAAAAAAGGAAAAAAAGATGGGGCGCCTGGGTGGCTCAGTTGGTTAAACGGCTGACTTCGGCTCAGGTCATGATCTCATGGTCCGTGAGTTCGAGCCCTGCGTCGGGCTCTGTGCTGACAGCTCAGAGCCTGGAGCCTGCTTCTGTTTCTGTGTCTCCCTCTCTCTCTGCCCCTCCCCTATCCGCGCTCTGTTTCTCTCTGCCTTTCAAAAATGAATAAATGTTAAAAAAAAATTAAAAAAAGAAAAAAAGAAAAAAGAAACAAAAATTAGAAATGATTTTTAAAAATCATTGATTTCTTCAAGGAATACCTAGAAAACTACAAAATGTAACATTTTATAAATTATTCTCTCCTGGGGCATATGTATAAATAGTTCTCTATGATTCTTTAAAGTATTCAACAGAAAAAAAGGTTTATTTTAATAATTATAAATTTCTTGCCTTTGTTTTTTTTTTCCCTAGGATTTTGAGGAATCACAGATACATATATACAGGCTAGATTCCAAAATTTACACGATATTTTTGGGTTGTTTTAGCATGATGCTCATGGGTAAAATAGCCTTTGTCACTAGCCAGCATTAGATGTAACATTGGACCCTCTGGGTAAGCCACTGAATTAGTAAACAAAATTGATAGGAATAACATTAAATCAGGTGTAAGAAATTTTGATAAGAAAAATGAAGTCATACGTAGAAGACAATGATATATTAAACCATCTATAGGCATATGTGCACATGCACACAGGCACACACCACAGCTTGGATTTCTACAGTAGCTGTAGCATAGACTCTAATGTCGACTCTTGTCGACTCTTGGTCCCATGAACAGCAATACTCCTTTATTTATGGGTTTGTGGGTATGAAGAATCAAACCCCAGGACATTTATTCAGAATATTTATGAACTGTGCCTAATAGCAAAATGCAGAGTTTTTTCTTCTTAGTTCAAAATGGTTTGTATTTTTAAACTCAACACTATAGCCAGACTCAACAAGAGTTTAGAGAAAATTAGTATAAACAAATTGAAATAGAACAGGACGTGCAGATTAGGGATTAGAGTGACCCCAACTGAGTTTTTCTGTTTATTACTTGGATCAAAGTACAATGAAGACAAAGAATGGCCTAATTTTAATGCCAGTGACCTCAGAATAACCAGCCCTGCAAAGTATCATTTTTCCACTTCCAGGATTTCTCTTGGGAATTCAAATAAAAATTGGTTCCTTTCCTCCTCTGAGAGGACATCTGGAGAGTTTATCAATGGATAGGAATTTGTCTCTCACTGTGAAGAGCCTGTGATGTCTCTTCATGCGCACCAAGGGAATGTGGGCTTTTTGAGCAGCTGCAGGCATTGGGTTTTTTTTTTTTTTTTTTTTTTAGACCCAGCCCCAGACTTGGGTCTGAAGGGGAAATTTATAGGCTGGGTGATGTGCACTGTGAGCTCACACTTTTACTAGACAAATTAGATAGGTTTCAATCCATGCAGCTGTAAACGATGTCCTGCAGAGTTCCACCTGATCTTTTACAGCTTTTCATAAATCAGTACCTACTGGCCGCAGACCGCAGTCATTAAAAAGAAATCATGGAAATTACATGTTTGCTCAGGGGAAGCAAAAAATAACTTTCCTCCCCTTCTCTCTCCCTCCTTGTATTTA